AAACATGGTGTTTTGCTAATTTTTGCCGTTCACGTTGTCGTCGTTGCTTACTCCTACTTGAAGTTAAGTCATCAAGAAGGAGAAAAACGTCGTTATCATGCGCTGAAATGAAAATGCTAAAAATGAGTATTTACAATAAAATCTACACCCTCAATAAAATACAACGGAAAGGAGACAAATATCCCAACTGATTGGAAAGTTGCAAATGTTGTGCCTATATTCAAATCTGGCAAAAATAACTTGGCAGATAACTACCGTCCAATTTCATTGACTAGCGTCGTTGTGAAAACGTTAGAGCGCTTGATCCACAAGCACATTATGAAGTATCTGACTGACTTCCAACTGCTTAACGACAATCAGCATGGATTTAGACCGTCAAGATCTTGTGTTACCCAGCTACTGCAATTAGTGCATGAGTGGTTTCAGGCCTTGGATAAACTTGGATCAGTCGATGCAGTGTTTTTGGACTTTGCCAAGGCTTTCGATAAAGTCTCCCATGCCCATCTCCTCTACAAGTTGGAATGCTATGGTATCAAAGGCCAGATTTTAAATTGGTTAAGGGATTTTCTCACGTCAAGGAAACAGCGTGTAGTGATTGAGGGTCAAGCATCTGACTGGTTAAGTGTTACATCTGGTGTGCCCCAAGGAAGTATACTTGGGCCTTTGCTGTTCCTTGCATACATCAACGATCTTCCTTACTCAGTAACCTGCAACTCAGATTTGTTTGCTGACGATACTGTCCTTCATCGACACATAGAAAATAGATCGGATTGCGATCTACTTCAAGAGGATTTGACATCTGCCTCTGAATGGTGCAAGAGTTGGCTTGTTACTCTTAAGACCGAGAAGTGCGAAGTCCTACACATTACACGGAAGAATGATCCAATAAGATGTCAATATTCGTTGAATAACATCTTACTACCGGAAGTGGACCACCACAAACACCTGGGAGTTTGGTTGGAGTCGTCTTTATCATGGGATTATCACATTAACTCAATTTGTGCTAAAGCTAACAAGGTGTTGGGCTTGATTAAAAGGACATTTGGTTATTCAAACAAGACTGGTATCAAGACAGCTTTTAAGGCGCTAGTGATACCTATCCTCGAGTACGCCTGCCCAGTCTGGAATCCTTATCTGGTGAAACACACCAAGGCAATCGAAGCAATTCGGAGAAGAGCGTCCCGACTAATATGTGGCCCCGACAAAGAATATCCTGAAAGACTTTTAGAGTTAAAATGGGACTCTTTAGAACTGAGACGGAAATATCTTAGCCTAGTTCAAACGTATAAGATTATATTTGGTTACTGTGATATCAATTGCCATCATTACTTTGATATTATTGGAATAACTCGAACTAGAAGTAAGCATGAGTATAAAATAAGGCCTAAAGTTGCCCGTACAAATTATTTTAAATATTCATTTTTTCATAGATATATTAATGATTGGAACTCTTTGCCTTCTGAAGTAATGTCATCTCCTAGCCTTCAGTCTTTTAAAGTTTCACTGATTAAGTAGCTTCGCTCATAATTTACCTTAAAATATTAGGCATAGTGTCTTTAATATAAGTTTATGCATCATTATTATTAGGCATCTAGGTTTATAATTTATAGTCTAATTTATAGTTTTTTAATATATGTTTATATATTAATTAATTATTTTTTTTTTCTTTTTCTGTTTTGGAAGGTATGTCTTAGAATGGGAATTTGGTTTCCCCCTACTACCGTCCTGTTAACCATTTTTGTATTTTTGTTCGATTGTATATGTTAGTATTAGTTCATTTGTATCAGTTATGTATGGTTACGAACTGTGATTAAAGATTAAAGAATACAATACTGTGATACTTAAATTGTTGTCTGTTCACTTCAGAGTTTACGACAGTTTCTATTATCACAAATATACTCTGAAACTCTCCAACCATACTTGACTTTATACATCAGTACTACGATGTCTTGAAGTCTATTATACAACGTGGGAAGGTTAGCCCTCTCTAAGAGTTCTTCATACGTATCCGAGTGGGATCTATATATGGCTCTCAATGCCCGTTCTTGTATTCTTTCCACCTTCCTTTTGTCTGACGATCGACTTACAAAAATGCCATATTAGGTGGCAATATGTAAGATGGGCAAAATAAAAGCTTTATACAGCAACAGCTTAGCCTTAGATGGTATTAAATCTCGTAAACGAGATAGTATCCCGACTTTTCGGCTAGTCTTAATACATAGCTCACTTATATGCCTATATGCTTGAAATCAAGGTCGCCGTCGATGTGGATTCCTAATAGTTTAAAGTCCTCTAATTTGTCAATGGGTAGGCCATCCAGGCTTAGCACTGCATCACTCGTATCTCCATCAATTTTTCTTGGGTTGATATTTAGGAGCTGAAACTTCTCTGGGTTAGCTGATAAAAGGTTAATTGAATACCATATCAGAGCTTGCTTGCAGCTTGTTTTCAGTTGCTGTCCAACTATTTCGTGATTTGTTCCCTTCAAATGCAATTGATGGTCATTCGCGTACATGGTTATGTTTCCATTCTCGACATGCAACGGTAAATCATTCTGTAACATGTTCCAGAGTAAGGGCCCAAAGGATGATCCTTGCGGACATCCACGTTTCATAGGTTTCCAGATGCTTGTAATTTCACCCAGTTTTACCCTGTTTCGTCTGTTTTCGAAAAACGATCGCATCAAATCGAGAGATCCACTTCCAAAGCCATAAGCCTCCAACTTCTTTATTGTCAGAGAGTGCCTCAAACAGTCGAAGGCCTAATACTCATATCAGCAGATAGAACATAAACGGGTTGTTTTGAGTCGACAGCCTATTTCCAGTCCTCTATCAGTCCACGTAAGGTCGTCTCACAGCTATGTGACTTTCTGTACGCTGTCATTTTCGAGTACAGGAAGACAAAACATACAAGGTAAAGAAGTCTAGTGTATTTAATGATTAAGGCAGGTACAGATTGAGAGGTTTAAAGTATTTTTCCATGATACTGGTCAAAAGAATGGCTGGTGGGTTAAGTGCAATCCAGCTTTTTTAATTTTCGGTATTCCGTCCTGGCAAAACTCTGGTTGCCGTTTGATAACTAAAGGAGAAATTCATCACCTGCGATCTTACGCTTTTGATGATGTTTTGCTGGGATTGGAAAAAGGTAGATCCTGGGACCGAACATGCATCCCAACATACCAAACGAAGTTACTAAAGTCGTAGTACAAGATACAATTGTCACGTACCAGCTCTCAAAAGCAAACAGCACAGGGTAATATGCCAGCGATGACAACAGTAGAATGTACATAGAGAATCCTATGTATTTTGCGTCGTTAAAGTTCTCGGGAATTCCTCTTGCTTTGAAAGCGTAATACGTACACAGGAAAGCCACAATGAGCGTGTAAGCACAAACTGCGATGAACAGTGCAAGGCCGAGGTTGGTGTCAAATGGTTTGCACACAAGAAAGATGTACTCATCTATGCGGATGACTTTATTACCCCTCGGGGGGTCAAGAAAGATCCACAGGGCCAATAAACAAATGAAAGCTAAATTCATACCTGAGAGAAAGATACCCTGCCTTTTTAGGGTTTTGTAACACGGTGTAAACAACTGCGCCACTTTATCGACCTCAAAAACGCTTGCTATTCGCATAGTTTTCAAAAAGAGTACTGTGATACAAAGATTGAGACCAAAATAGCGCCAGAAAAATGTTGCAGTGCAAAGTGAATGGCTGGGCTCAGAAAGTTCGAGGACGGCTAAAATAAAGAGAGCTGAGACACCAAAAAGCAACAGAAAAGAGATCTCTCTATTAGAGGCCTTCACGACTGGGGTGTTGAAAAACTTGATGTAGGTGCCTCCTACGAACAATATGAGAATAAAACCGAGGGAAGCCACCACTGTTATGGTGATTCCATAGACATTTAAATGCGTGTTGTTGATGACTGGTAGCTTTTCACAGCCCACACTTAGTGCAGCTAATAGATCCTACTTTGGTACTGACAGTTCCCAATGGACACTTAATACAATCCCAGCAACATGGCTCGGTTTTCTCCCTTCTGGTACCAGGTAAAGATTCTGATGAACAGGAGGATAACGGAGTGAAGGGAGTTCTCCATCGTAGCCTGGACAAATCTACTTTGAGTTTGGGCGTGTTTTTTTTGTTCCAAGAACCAACCAGAATATTTTTGCGGGCTGCGTCTGTGGTTGAGTCAAGCTGATTGTTTATGATGTCGTATGAAGCTGTTAAGGGATCTCCAAACTCGTTAAATCGCACCTTGCCAGTCAAACCGTCAAAACTGATATTTCTGAGATATTTCTCCAGATCACGTCCTTTGACAGTCGGATTGACTGGAGGACACTTTCCTCTTTTACCAGCAACATGTATAGTAAGAGAACAGCGGTAAATGTTATCTAGGGCGTGTGCAATAGCATAAACAGCGTCAATGAGATACGATACGAAGGAGTCACGTATCTTTTGCAGCCCATGGTGTACCGTCAGATTTGCTTCGCAAAGTGCGAGCCCAGAATCATCGGAGTTTGTGGCTGAACAGTTAAAATGCAATCTCCAGAACTTTTCCCACCAGTCCGCTCTTCTTTCAATGCTTTTGGCAGGTGTGATTGTCTTAAGGTGCTCTTCAAATTCGAGAACAGAATAGTCATGTGGAATTATTCCCAAGGAGCCGTTTATTATAGTGAAGTGAGAGTCGACATACAATGCTCCCGTCGTGGTCAGTGCGTCGCTAAGTATCCAAGTCTTTTCTTCAAGATTTTGATCAGTTGCTTCTTCAAAAAATGCTCTTCCGTAACCGCCAGAAAGCCAAACAATGATCACTGCGATTTCAGATCTCCTTTTAATCTTGAGAACAGTTTCCTTCGTTTTATTCTTATAGCTTAGCCGTGGAATGTACTCAGAAAAAGCAATGCAAAATGTTTTCCGGTTGTAGGATAGTTTTTCCAGGGCCGAAATACCGTTCAGTCCATAAGAATCATCCAACCCGACAGCCGCCACGTATGTCCAGTTAAAGAGCTCTATGATGTCTGCCGGGACCTCTGCTTGCCAGTTGTCTGGTGGAACTGTTCTGAAAAAGTCTTTGTACATTTGTGAACTCATCGCTTGTTGCACTCGGGCTGATTGCGGGAATGTCATAAACTTGAAGAAGACTTCCTACTAGCACTGCGGTGCCGGAATTGAAAGGGCCAACTAACGCTGAGATGGTCTTGTTTTTGGTTTACTTGACATATCTTGTGGGGGAGGTGCTGATGTTTTGGTTAGACATATGTACTGGATCGCCATCACACATGAAGTCATAGGCTATTTTCATGGCTCGAGCATTGCTCCAACAGTAGTCTCTTAAATCGTAGCCTATTGTCACGTTCGGTAAAATAGTGGAGTTGTTGTTAATTTTCTCAATAGCGAAGATCGTAGCCTCTGCGTATCCCAGCCCTGTGGTAGAAAGCTCAGTACATTGATCATTAGTGCCAGAATAGTGGATGTTGATTAGAGCACCAACTATAACGTCGCCATCTTTATAATTTCTATATCCGTCGTTTGAGGATGTTAGTGGAAGAAATAGCAGTATAAAGAGAGGCGGCCTTAAGATGCCTGAAAGCATTATGTGTTTCCTCCACTTCATCGGCCTTGTGTGGTTTGCACTAAAACAAATTAAAGGAAAATAGATTTAACCTTGCGAACAGTTTCAAGAAAAAGATGCGTTCAGAAAGAAGAAGAAAGAAGGGTATCTGCGATTTATAGAGGTCTTTGTAGTGTTGGCTGCCATCCGCAAATGAGTTATAGCTCTAGACATTCCTACATGTAAAAACTCACCAAGATTCTTAGACCTCACATCGCTGGACAGCAGAAAACATCCCAGATTATGTGAACGAAAAGAATTTTTAAGAGCAGCCGTCTAAATGACAGTGAACTCGGATGTCGGCTACAGTTACATAAGTGAGCAATGGAGGAAAACTATTTCTTTGGGCACGTACAAATTAAAGCTTGTTATGACGTTATCTGAATTAACTCTCTTATTCCAGCTGGTTTTGCACAACAAGAGCAGGGAAGCTATTCTAATGTATGGATTGTCTTTTATAATTTGTATACTGTTCCAGCTGAGGTCCGGCGAAACTGCATTTCTAGTAGTTGAGTGAAATAATATCGATTCACAGTCTGGGTATATCCAAGTCTAAGCTTAAACATTGGGAGATTTTCGCTTAAGGGTTTAAGGTCTGGCTTTTGTGAAATTGTTTTTTAAAAAATCAGTTTTTAATAAAGCAGACCGACACCGACACCGACCCTGTGGAGTGTCATTGAGATATCCTCTTGCGCGGTAAAAGCGTGGGAAGAGAAAACAAAACGCTTTTTGGCTACCGGGATATGTGATGGGAAAATGTTGGGTGAGCAAAATTAAAGGGAATAAACGCACGTCTTATTCGCTACTGAACCAATGCAAGATGAATGAATACTAAGTATGACTTCATGAGACTGATGCTTACACCTAGAAGACCTATCAATCACTTTAGTAATTTTTTTTAGTTTAAATGAAAGCGAATACGAGTCTGTAAACTCGGCGATTTTTGTCCGGTTCTGGTTCTGTTAATTCTTTGCCTCGGAAACCGAAATCATTGCGATGCTAGCACACGTGATAGTCTCCATAAGAATAGAAGGGAAAAGACGAAAAAGCCTTAATTCTCTATAAATTTCTCTTTAATATCGATTTGTAGTCACAGCAGAATATTTCATTTACAATGTCACATGCAGGCGCTCTCAATATTAAACATTGTTGTATTTACATCTTCGAGGTTTCGAAACCACATTTTTTAAAGCACTTCATTCAACTTACAAATCATAAGTTAGTAATACCCAAACACTAGTAACAGTTAACAAAACGTTACAGTTACAGAGATCATTTTGGTTTTCTTATAACAGAGAGAAACAACAAAAAAATGGCAAAGCGAACAAAACTATTTGAAATATTTTGTAAGAAATTCTATTTTTTCTGTATTTGTCATGTTTCCCCGACTTATTCACGAAGTTTTTCTCCAACAATATTTTGTAGCGAACTAGGAATATGAAGTCTTCAAACTGAAATTTACTTTTAACACCAACATTATTGTATAGGAAGTTCTTTTCTATAATAATGAGATGGTTTAGGACTAAGAAGTGACAAAAAGGGTGAAATGTGGCATTTAAAAACGAACATCTAAACTTGAACGTTGAAGTTCTTCCTCACTGGGAACTAAACCAAGTACATGTAAACTATAATTAACGCTACTTCATGCGAAAATTTTGAAAAGGACTGAAGGCAGGCTCGGAAATGGGGATCGTTCGATTTTCTTCAAAAAGTTGAGTCAATGTCGCTACGCTTAAATTAGGTAAAAAACACGGCCTCTGACAACAGCGAAAAAATATGAAGAGTACCGATCATTTTTGAAATAAAATTAAGGAAGGATTTCCTAGACCAATAAATACTTAAATTTTGATCACCAGACCGTTCTGTGTACTAAAGTCAATCTATTGTGGTCTGCTTATGCTTTTTTAGACGAAATTTTCAAAACTAACAATTAAGTTATACTCATAAAGCCAAGAGCCATAATATAAAGCTAGGGGAATCACGTTGACCTACAAAAGGGGTATTTTTCGTGACGTCTCTTATCTTACCTTGACGCTTCTGTTTGAGAGACGATCTGCTTTAAAACAATAAATTCCCCCAAAATCCTCATTAAGTGACTGTGGGTTTGGACTTTTTATCCTTAGACGACTTTCAAGCCGTTATCTTCTTGTTTGGTGTTAAATTTCAGGAAGAGTAAAGAGCCTGAATAACTTGACTTTCTGAATAAACTACGTCCTATTAACCGTCGCATTTTACGTACCTATATTTGTGTTAGCACCTTAAATGAGTGAAAATCGTCATGCGACGTTAATGACGAAACTACTATTAGGCGAATTCAAATCAGACAAGATACCCCTGACAACAAAAAATCTTGATCAGTGAGCGAAAATGTTTGTTAAGTTTCAAAAGGATTAGAGAGGCCTGATGTTTCTGATCGAAATAAAAACATCCAACGCTCAAATTATTTGTCGGCACTTTAGCGATGTCTAGTGTTGATGAATTTCTGGTTGTTCGTTAATGATAAAAGACAAGTTTAATAACTTTATTGTAGATTAAAACATTTGTCTTGCATCCTGCACCTGGCAGAGTAGTTGCTGGTGAAATTGAAACTCTGGGTCCTAAGGAAATTAAAGTAAAGGAAATAAGCAGTCATTTCTGGCACAGCTAAACTTTATATGCAATTTTCATGGCCAAACTAGTTTTGAGTAAAAGACGAATCTTGGTAACAGCTGTATTTCATTTTGCGGCCTCAGTAGATGATCACGAAAGGTTAAAAATGTAAAACAAATACATTTCTAGATCTAGCATAAGTTTTACGCTTAAATTCACCTTTCAACGTTTCGACCAGTCCGTAACTCGATTGGCTCTGGAGTGTGATCAAATGCGTTACCAAGCTCAACGCAAAGCCTTTATGTATTTTGGAAAGCACACGTTATAACCTCGGTAAGAATAGACGAAAAAAAAGCAAGGGAGCCTAATTTCTGGACAATAGTGAAAAAAAATGTGATGAAAAGGCAGCAGGCCGGCAAGAGATGCTTTTTCAAATTTATATTAAGGGTCGATAGATTCATAAAACCAATACTGAAAATCGTCAATGTTTATGCCAGTAATTTTCAGGGTGGTATCCATTTTTTTTATATACATGTATAGTGTCACTTAGGTAAAATTTGTTATGTTAACCTAGTCAGCAGGGGACCTATTCTTCCTGTATTCTTTAGCTTGATGCGTCTGTTGACTTATGTAAAAAAAAGGAGCAAACAGGATGACTAAATTATGCCCTACTATTTCCTGTTTTCTTTGAAGAAACCACTTTAACTGGTGCATTCAAATCAGATAAGTTAATCCCTAACAAGAAAAGAAAGCCGATCAAATGGGTACAAAATGTTTAGCGACTTTCACAACGATTAGAGAGGCATGATGTTTCTATAATGAAAGGTTTAGTTGCTACTTTATTTTTTAACAGACCTTCTCTTGTGTGTTGATTATAATTTCCAGTTGTTATTAAACTGTAAATGACAAGTTTAATAAATTGAAAGCAGAATTGAAGATTAAAACATTTGTTTGACATGTTACATCTGGCTAAGTAATTGCAAGTGGATTAAAAACTACGTAGTTCAAAACGGAAATACAAGAAAGGGAATTAACATTTATCACTGAGATAGGAATGGCTAAACTTTATATCTAATTTCCTGGGCCAAACGGCTTTGAATACAAGACGAATCTTGATACCAGCTGGCTGTATTTCATTTTGTTGCAGTAGTAGAAGAACAGGAAAAAATATAAAGTTAAAACTATGCAAAGCTTTATAGTTGTCAGTAAACAGATTTCAAGATGCCGCATCAGTTTTTTATTTTGAATTCTCCTGCCAAAATTTTGACCAGTCTGACTGGATATAGATTGTTCCTGGAGCGTGAGCAAGGACACGACTCGATGTAACGGTTGACTATAAACTTTTTAATTTTTTGCGACGAAGGAACGCTACATATCTGGGACTCCTTTTCTTTTCCCCAGATTCTGTACGGGTGGGTCAAATCCAATTTTTTTTTTTGCATCGATGGGCTTCACTTTTCTGCAGCAATGGAGGTTCCCCTACGAAAAAGTGATGCACCTGCGAACATGGTGTTTTGCTAATATTCTCTGTTCGCGTTGCCGTCTCCCTCGTCGTTGCTTAACCGAAGTCAAGTCATCAAATTTTTTGAACATTAAATATTAGTTGACCTTGGAAATTGTTGGGAAACATAATGCTTTTGTAGGTTAAAACTAAAACATTCACTTGTCACTCAATCCTAATTGCTGTAGCAAGGCTCTTTAATTTACATTAGTGCTGTTATGAACCTACTGTGTGTCACGATCTCGTCTTAACAAAAAACTAACTAAAAAGAGATCCTCATCCCTTACCAATCTTCGTCGGTATAAATGTTTTGAATAACTGCTGTGTGTGTTGACAGAAAATATGAAAAGCAGACAGTTCAATGACGTGATGGCAATATTGAAGATTAAAGCCTTTATTATGCATGCACACAACACCCTGTAGATGAGTACAGTCGAACCCCGCTATTTCGAACTCGGTTAATTCGAAGTCCCCGCTATTTCGAAGGAAGATCCAATTCCCTTGGATTTACTATTATGTTTTCAGTCGTTTACTATCAGCTATTTCGGACGGTTATTTAATTCGAATTCCCCCCTATTTCGAACTCATCGCTCTTTCCCTACATCTTAAATCAACCCCGTTATTTCGAACTTGTCATTATAAAACAGAGCTTTCATAAGTTATCATGTATTGAGTGCAAAAACTCGTGTTTTGAATTGCTGCTGTTTGTTGTTTGACTGAACTGAGTTTTGAGAAAGTTCAGCGCTGTTAAGTGAGTCATGATTGCCTTATGATGACTTTAGAGAGTAGAAGTTACTTGATCACGGTACTAAAAGCTTTTTTTTTTAGTATATACTAAAACAGTGGATAGTGTTTTTCGCGCGCTCTGATTGGCTACTCAATCAGTGAATAT